GTAGTGGTATGCAACAAGCAATGATCTATGACAATAAAAGCACGATCGTACTAGTAATGCATGTAAGACGGATACGACTGCCAATAGTCATGGTAGTAGGTAGAACAATCGCAATAGCAGTGGTGACGCTAGTAGTTATTTTTTCGCATCAGCTGCGATCCTGCAACAGTCAGTAGTAAGACCTGGAAAGTCTAACAACGGTACTAACAAGCCAGTTAACAATAAGGCTTTAGTAGCCATCATCGTTAGGGCAATACCAACCATTCAGCAAATGTACCAGCCAATCTCTAAGTAGCGACATACTGCGTAAAAAACCTTCCCCAGCACAGGCTTACACCAACAGGTAAGCACACATGCACACACACACACACCCATGCATGCATGCATGCCTGCCTGCCTGCCTGCCTGCCTACCTACCTACCTACCTACCTACCTACTTACCTACATACATACATACATACATACATACATACACTGCCTAAATCGTCATTCGGTCAAATGAGGGTTACGGCCAAGACACCGCACTCAATATTGTATGTGTTAGTCATGCCCAGCTGATGGTAACGATATTGCACACAACACTCAGTCTGGTGATGAGACCGTAGTGCCAGCGCTTGCAGTGCTAGTAGTGGTGGTAATGGTAACAGTATTATCAAGAACTGCGGTAACAACGATAGCCATGCTAGCTTGGTGTTTGGGTTCGGCTTCTTGCGTTGCGCTCAGCCACGAATTCGGGTAATGGGGTTCAGCCTTCAGGGCGCTGAGGATGAAAAAGCAATCTCCCAAGCATGTCTCGGCTTCAAAGTGCCAGCTAAATGCTTGACGCAACACCTTCGAGGGTTGAATGCCTGCCGGCTTCAGGGAAGGGCTGCGTCGGAAAACCATCCCATGCTCGGCAAGACCGGCTGAATTCGCGTGCCAGTCGCAAGATTGTACAGTACTGCGCCTGCCTAGACGCCCTGGCCCTGTCCTTATGTTAAGAGGCCCGCTACCGGCTTCCACGACCGCCGCTGCCTTGCATTGCATTCCCCCTTTAAAGGCACGTGTTGCAGGTGACGCAGGGCTTGAGTTTGGGGCTTGGGATTTAGACTTGGCCTCACAGGCTTCAGGACCCAGGGTTCAGGGTCTTCTCACCTTTGGCGTCAGAAGCTTCGAAGTGCAGGTTTTTGAGACGTTTCGAGGCAAGATTCCCCAGCCAAACCCGTAACTTGTGAGTTGGAAGCCTAGGGCCTGTGACTCCTAAGAGTTGGGGTTGTAGGATAGTTCATGATGCAAATTGCGGATCTTAGACCACTTCTCTTCATGGCCTCGGAGTAGAGGCAAGACCATCCTGAAGAGCCCCTTGGGTTTAGGGGTTTAGGGGTTTAGGTTTTAGGGCCAAAGTTTAGGGGTTTCATTGTTTCAGGTTTAGGGGTTTAGGGTTTAGGGTTTAGGGCTTGCGCTCTCAAAGCACCCGGTTGTGGCATGGAGGAAGCCCCTAGACCGGACCTGGATCGGACAGGACCCACCGACGTTTGACAGCCTCGATGCCCGATGGTTGTTATGTTATGCTGTATGATATCATTTTAGTATATGGTGTTATATGATATTGTGTGATATGATATTCCAGTCTATTCTGTTCTTTGCTGTTCTATTATATTATACTTCATTGTATCATATTACAATATGTTATATTATAATATATTCGTTCATATTATATTACATTTCACTATATTATATTTGTATATTATGGTATGTTATATGCTATATTATATTACAATATATTACATTGTATTGTACTGGATTATTTTTTGTTGCACCATACTGTAGATTTTTTTAGAATATAATATATTATGTTCTTTTATACGATATTATGTTATATTATTATATATCATAGCAAATATTATATTATAGTATAACATATATCATGTTATATAATATTAAAATATATGGATCTATATTATAATATATTCTAGTATATTATATTCTAGTGTGTTATGTTATATTATATTAACATATAAAATAATATTATATTATAGTATATTATATCATACCATAATATATTTTTAGTACATTGCATTACACTGGCATGATATCATGTTATACTGTGTGATTTTATGATATGATATGCGATGATATTGTACTATACTATATAGTTATATTTGTGAGTTGTAGAATATTCGTAAATTACAGTATATTGTATTGTATTACACCATATCTGATTATATAGTATCATATTACCTGACATCATACCACATTACATTAAATCCTATTGTAATATATGAAGTATATGACTTTATACTCTACTCTTTTATGTATTGTTCTATTCATTGAGGTCTTTGTTATCGTCGGGACAGAGCCGAAGTGTACCAGGTTTCGGGATGCGAGGTTTCGGGCGAACATCTTCGGTTTAGACTTCCGAGGAAGATGACACCAAGGAAAGATCTTGGCAGACATCGGGATGTAATCTGAAGAAGCAGTGATAGTATCTCCTGATCAGGGCCTTATAGGTATAAATTTTACTAGAGTTTCGCCCCCCAAAGGCCGAACCGCAATGATCGCAGCCGCAGATTTATTGTTTTAGATTCGACTCTTGTTTTATTTCCTTCAGAAGTTGAGATAAACGGATCCTTATCATTAGGCTCCTATGTTCTAGGGTCGACATTATGGTCCCTTCTTTTCTGAAGCTTCCATTTAGGGCATCTTTGGCCTGTCCTTGTACAGACTCGCATGGCTAGCTGAGCTCATGGCATGGCCTAACTCAGCTGCACAGCGGTTGCACAGCCGACTCAACAGCAGTTGGCCCAAACCGAGTGCCCTCTGTTTGGGCAACCAGTCCACTAAGAGGGATGTATCCACCCTGTGGGCAAAACGGAGCGTGGCTAAGCTAAACTTTTCAGGTCCAGGTTTGGGCGTAACTCGAGGCTGAATCTTAAGGGCTATGTTTGGGGCTTATAGCCAAGATCGCGGTTGAAGAGGGCTTGCAGTTCTGACCATGAACCGAACTAGGTAGAACTGTTTGGGGGATGATGCTTGACCCGAACCCTCCACCCGCAAACCTCTCGCACCTTGAGTAAAAGGCAACAATGCTCGACCAAAAAATTTATGCACGTTAAATGGTCGCTGCCATGGAGCAAGCACCCTGAATGCTGTGCAAAACCCTTCTTGCCTTTGTGCATTGCCCTACATAAGACCCTGTAGAAACCGTATAACATCCTGTTCAAAACTATAAGACCATTAAAACTCCTGCACACTCCGGCAAAAAGTTGCACCTTGTTACTGTCAAATCCTATAAAACCCTGCAGCATCAGCAGAAGAGCCTATCACACCCAACAAATGCCTGCAAAATCCGCATAAGGCTCTGTCAAACCTTATTTGTAAAATCACATAAGGCCTTATCAAACCCTAGAGAAAAGCTTCTTTTAAAGCTCTGTATGACTTCAAAACCGCACAAACTCTAAACCCTAAACTCTGAGAAAAGGCATTAAAACAAAGAACTCTTATAAACCCATAGAGTGCGCTGAAAAAGCCTGTAACCCCCCGGCCCTAACCTCAAAAAGATCACCAGATCTCAAACCCTGAACCCATTACTGGCCTCCAAATACCAAGAGCCAAAAATCCTAGACCCTGAAACCTGGACCCCCCTAGGCCCTCTCAGCCCTATCATCTCATAAGCCCCACAAACCCGCACCCTTGTACTGCCTGCTATAGACCCCCCACCCCCCCTCCCCCCTTTGGAGAGGCCCTTTTTGCGGCCCCTAAACCCTAAACCCTAAACTCCTAAACCCTAAACCCTTAAACCCTCCAGGCTCACATCAAACCCTAGACAATGCCACGGGTTCGGGGGTTATGGGTTTCCGGTTGAGGACCCTAAACCCTAAAATCTAAATTCAGGACCCTAAACCCTGAAGCCCTAAACCCTAAGCCCTAAACCCTAAAACCCTGAAGCCCTAAACCCTAAAGCCCTAAACCCTAAAACCCTGAAGCCCTAAACCCTAAATCCCTGAAGCCCTGAACCCTAAAACCCTGAAGCCCTAAACCCTAAAACCCTGAAGCCCTAAACCCTAAATCCCTGAAGCCCTAAACCCTAAATCCCTGAAGCCCTAAACCCTAAAACCCTGAAGCCCTAAACCCTAAATCCTAAGCCCTAAACCCTAAAACCCGTAGCCATTTTGGCTCAAGCCCTGGCTCAAGGGCAAAGCATCCTTGTCTCGTAGTTCACCGAGGGCATATTGGCGGTTCCTCGTGGAGGCGGCGGTGTCTGGGGGTGAAGGGCCTTCTTGTCTGCGCGAGTCAGGGGGGCGGGCAGGCCTCCATAGACCGGCAAGGGATGGCTGATTCTTCGCGTCGTGGTGGGCCGCCTCTCCGGATGGACATGGCGGCAGAGACCCCGGTTCCGGAGAGCGGGTCGGTGTCGCCTACGAAGCGAGGGGGCGATCGACAGGATGCTCCGGCTAAGAGGGTTGCTGTGACTGACAGTGGCTCCGGGCTGCCGAACTCGGGGGTGCTCCAGGTGGACATGCAGATGTTGGCCCGTCTTCTGGAAGAAACAGGGAACAAAATTATGCAGGCCCAGCATGAGCACTTGGAAGCCAGGATGGGGGCATTGGAGGACCTCACCGGGAAAAGATTGGCGGCTGCCGAAACCCGTGTGGGTACAGTCGAGACGAAGGTGGACTCCTTGGAGGGCAAGATCGAGGAGCTTACTAAGCGACTGGAGACCACTGGTGGTTCAGGGGGCACAGATCAGGAACGAAGGATGACACTCGTGTACGGCGGGTGGCCGAGAGACAGCCGCCGTGCCGACATACTCAAGCAGCTGCAGAAAGCCCTGGAAAAGCTCGGCGTATGGCAGGATGTGGATGCAGATCCGTTCACCACAGGCCCGCGGCGTGCCACGGCTCTGAGTGTGTTTAAAGCCAGAAAGGGGGAAGGGGCCTACGACGTGCGGCAACGCATGCATGGCATTATCCGTGCCTTGGCAGACAACGAGATCATTCTGGCAGGGGGCAAAAAACTATTCGCCACCTTCGCAAAATCCAAGGCAGAGAGGGACATTGCCTCGCATGCGGCATGGATCAAGAGAACCATCCACGGCCTCGCTCCCCAAGCAGTGCAGCGACTGGACATTGAGTATGCGACGGGTGGTGTATGGGCAGGCCACTCGTTCGTGGCGAGCGCTAAGCAGCCCCCGCCTCCGGGGGTTGCGGGCGGAGACCTCTTGTGGGATGAGACCAAGGGTGGCAAGCACTGGATCCACGTGTCGGCACTAGCGAGAGAGCTGGGGTTGTCGGAGGCAGCCATCAGGGATGGCCTTGAAGAGGCACACAACTGATCCGGGCCTGAGGCGAGCCCGAGCCAGAATGCGAGGATATCCTTTCCGCAGGTGGGGTGGCAGAGAACAACTATGCCCGAACCATCTCAGACTTTGTGGAAGGCATATCTGGGGATGCATTGATTGTCGTTCAAGAGGTTGCCCGCCAGGAAGCTGGCTGGCAGACACAGCACCACGATACTTGGCAGGCCCTTCTACATCGGGATGCTGATGCCTGGAGGGGGGTTGGACTGATCTTCAGGCCTTCGAGCTGGAGTGTCATGCGCAGGAAAACAACGGAGAGAGGGGCTTGGTTCAGGGTCCGGCATGCCACAGGGACGGAACTGTGGGTGGGGACTGCTCACTTTACACCTGGAACATCGCAGGCGGTTCATGCATCGCAGGTGGCCAATCACTTGCAGGGCTTGCCTGCCACTCAGCTCCCGGTTCTGCGGGGGTGTGATGTCAATTCTCAGCTTTCGTGGAGCAGCGGCGAGTATGGGGAGGGTCTACCTACAGCTAAGAATGGCAAAACCTTTGAATTTCTGTCGCAGTGCAAGGGTCGTGGTTTGGACTTGGTTCCGCCTTCGGAGGAGGACTTTGAGACCCCCGCAAGCTGCCCCCGACAGGACCTCAGGGCGGGCAAACAGATTGATGCCATATTGCAGGGGCGGGCTCGGGTGGAGACCTTGAGTATTCACAAAGGGTCCCATAAGGCTCTTGGCACGGACCATGAGCTCCTATCTGTGGTGGTTCATCTTCGGGGTGGACGTGCAGGTAGGCCACACAGAACGAACCCTCGCATTTGGACGGGAGGGCTTGAGAGTATCGAGGGCCCGTTGGACCACAAGGAGCTTATGAGGCTGGCCCAGCAGCACACTCGCAGGCGCCCCGGCCGAGCCTATAGTGACCCCCCGGAAGTCAAGGAGGCCTTCAAGCAAGCCAGGGTTTTGAAGTCTGGAAGAGCATGGACCAGGGCTAGGAAACTCCGAAAGTCTGCTCGTCTAGAGTGGGAGACCGATCGGCTGGCCAGAGCTACCAGTGGAGACTGGGCAGCCTACAGACAACTCAAACGCAAAGGCAATGATGGGTGGGATATAGTCTTTGCTGAGGCCCATGAAGGGAAGGACCCCCACCAGGTTGTGCACGACCACCTGGCTGGCATTTACACGACTGGGCAGATTGTCCCGCCTTTGGGCCCCTGGGATGGCCCCATTGACCCGTTCACGATGGAAGAGTTAGAGTTCGCGCTTTCCAAAGGCAAGAAGGGCAAGGCAGTTGGGGTTGATCAGACTAGCCAGGAACTCTTGTCGGGCATTGCATCGGTACCCGGAGGGAAAGAGGCCCTGCTTAAATTTTACAATCAGGTGTATCGCGATGCTGTGGTGCCAGCCGAGTGGAATACAGCCCTCATGGTAGTGATTCCTAAAGAATTGCTCCCGGTTGACCCCAAAAACCTCCGACCACTTGCGATGGGGTCTGGTGTGGCCAAATGCTACTGCCGCATGTTATTAGGGCGTACAGCACAACACCTTCGACACACAGGGCCTTCTCAGTGCTCGGGGGAGGGCAGACAGACTGCGGAGTACGTGTTTACGGTGGCCCGGGTCATGGAACTAGAGGCTGAGTGGAGACGAGGGGTTGTCTTTGCCAAAATTGACTTGCATAAGGCATATGACATGGTGGATAGACCCGCATTACTCGAACGACTCAGGCGTGCGATGGGGGACGGGGCCACGTTTCGGTCCTGGCATGCCCTTTTGGCTGAGACGGATGCGGTCTTACAAACCGGTTGGGATCAAAGTAGACTTCAGCTTGACCGAGGGATCAAACAGGGCAGTATTGAATCGCCTGCTCTCTTCAGCTACTTAGCAGAGCAGATCCTGGAGGACACCAAGGCGGAGTTTCGTTGGGCTGACAGGCCTAGGGTTTTCGAAGGGCTGGACCTGGAAGAGCTCCTGTTTATGGATGATGGGTGTGTGTGGGCTGACTCTCCTGAGGCCTTGGGATGCAAGCTTGAGGAGTGGTCCAGGGTCCTACTGCGCTCGGGGCTTGCATTGAACCCGGCGAAGTGTAAGGTCTACTTCTCGCCCTTTGCCCCTAGGAACAAGGAGGTCGAGGTGTTTGGCAAAGTGATCGCGTCCTTGCCCACCTTTACCATCATGGGGGTCCCCTTCCGAGTGGGGGCCTCGGCATCCGAACTACTCGCTCCCTTCGTTCAACGTGCCAAGGACAAGTTCTGGGCGCTGAAGCACCTGCTTAGGGCTACTACCCCGCTCCGAGGCCGTGTCATGCTGCTGGACAGAGTAATAGGAGGGTTGGTGCTGTGGTGCCTGGCTGCCCTGACTCCTGATTCTGGAGGGATGCAGGTCCTCAACAGCCTCCAGTTGCAGCTTGTGGTGTGGTGTATGCGAGTGGGGAAGCGACATGGGGAAACCTGGCTAGGGTTTAGACAGAGGGCATGGCGCGGTGCCCGACAAGTCGTGTGGACCACCCTTGGCAGGCGATGGTCTACGACATGGCTCGAACGATGGTGGACACTTGCAGGCCACAGAGCGAGAGCAGGGGACAGGGATGTTCCGGGGGCTGCTTCGGTTATCGACAGCTATAGGACCAGAGAGTGGTGGACCCGGGAGCAACAAAAACCACAGTCTCAACGAGTGCAACATCCCCGACACTACCCCAAGCTGTCCAACTTGGAAAAGGATATGGATCGAGCTTCGGAAGGGTTGCCGTGGAGGGTTGTTGCCAGGGACAGGGCTAGATGGGCACAGTGCAAAGGGTCGTGGATTTCAAGCATGGATGTACCGTGGACTGGAGGGCGGCAAACTTGCATTCGGTATTAGAGCAGAGGGGGGGCAGGGCTATTGATGGCACCTTGTGACTGGAAAGCACCTGCAGCGCCTCGGCTGGAAACAGATTGTCTTCGACCCCCACGGCACAGCCATGTGGCGATCCATGATCATTTCGGTACTCGGGGTTATGGCCTCGGTGCCTCACCAACCGGAGCACCCCTTAAGGGCAAGCTCCCTTCCATGTGAGACAAAGCGCGACTCGCGCCGGTGGGATTTTCCCCCAAGCAGTGCAATCGAGCAGACTGCCTCGGTGGGTGACTGCAAGATGCCTCTCCGTGGAGGCAACCTGCCAGGGCCACACTCTCTTGATGCAGATGACACGTTTGGTTTGAAGGAGTACAGGGCGGAGGACGAGCAGCAGGTGGAGGTGACCTCGCTGATGCAGACAGGGGCCGGGGAGGCCTTGGAAGGCCCATGGCTGGAGCTCCTGGAAGAAATTCGCCTGCGATTGGAAGGATACGGGAAGGGGGAGCGAAGCCAGGTTGCAGGACATATGCTTCGGCTCCTGGACCACAGGGCGACTGATGCAGCCTCGGGATACTTGCTGGGCCATATGCCGGGCCGAGTCTCTACCTTGACTGCCCTACTGGTGGCAATGCGAGATGAGGAGTGCTATGGTCACAAGGTCCCGGCAGGGGATGTGAAATTACAATGGCTTCGACAGACGTGGGACAGTGTGACCAAGTACATCCCACAGCACCCTGGTAGTGCAGCAGCGGCGGGTAGATGGCCCAGTCATGATATGCCTGTTATCATGACGTTCATGAGACCACTACCGGAGGACACACCCCCGAGCTCGCCCATACAGGTTGAGAACAGTTCGGAACAGGTGCTTCGTGGACAACAAAAGCGGAGGTATGCCCAGGTGGAACTCAGTTCTGGCTCGGCGGACCACCCTCGATCCGTCCGCTTGGAGGTGCCACTACATGAGCGAACAGGGGTTTTGCAGCTACGGTTTACCGTGGAGGCCGAGCTGGAGCCCAACAGCCCGGCCAGCACAGTGCCGGCAGAGGGCCGCACGGCCTCGATGCCAGCAAAGGGCAGGGGGAATGCTTGTCCCAGCAGGGGCACCGGGGGGCCTGGACACCTATGGTCTGTCTGCCAGTGACTTCGAGGACCTGCGATGGAAGTGGAACCGGGGAGAGGCCACCTTGGAGTCGGTATCGGCTGAGCATGGTGCCCACGTGGCAGGAGAACTGCTGCTTAGATGGGGGTCATCGGGGGTCCTCTTCTCGCCGGAGGAGGAGCCGGCAGCAGCGACGGTCGTGGACGACCCTGGCCCGACCCCCGAGGTGGCTGATGGACGACCTCATGATCAAGAGGAGGACGATATTTCGGGGCTCTTCGCCTGGTGGAGCATGGTGGTGTCAGGGGTGCAAGGGGCCTGAGCAGGGCACAGCAGAGTTCTTCTCGTTGGCGAGACGACTCGTGCAGAGGCTCCACCAGCAAGCTGTGCCTCAGGTGGCACTTACCTCTGCCCTCATGGAGCTTATTTGGCGACGGGGCGACCAGGACTACCTGATGGAGACTGAGGGCTATATTGAGGACCTGGGGTTAACAATGGAGGTGGACAGGGATAGGGCTACAGAACTACCCGGCGACATCCTCGGTGCAGTGGAGTGGATGGAAGCAGAGTTGTGGCAGATATTTGTGGACGAACTGGAGGGTGCGGTCGGGGAAACCCACCAAGTCCAGAGTGCTCGGGGACAGGCCACCATGACACCACAGCAATGCCAAGGATGGTGGCAATGGGCTGAGCTTGTGGTTCAGCACCGCTCACGCTCGAGGAGTCGCAGCCCGAGGGCCCGGGAACAGGAGGGTGACGGTTCGTCGTTGATGGAGACCGGAAGAAGCAAGCCGACGCCTAAGCGAAAGGCAGGCCCAGCACGCGGAGACCGCAGGGATCAAGATGAGGATGATGACAGAGGCGACAGAAGGGCAGCCTGGCCGCGCAATGGGCTGAGTGATGGGCGACGCCGGTCGCCAGACCGGAGGAGGTCACGGAAACCCGCCAGGGGGGCAAGCAGTGGAGCGAGGGAGAGAACGCCTGTCCCGCGAGTGACCAGCGAGGTCAGGCGATTGGGACCCCGGGGTGGGGCTTGCCGGCCACCTGCCCCCATGACAGTTGGCAATGCGACCTGCTTTTGGCTGCACACATTGGGCTTGAGGGATGGTTTGGCCACTGACGATCATCATGCCCTGGACCCGGAGCAGCATTCCAACAGGGTCCGTGCAGTGCAAGACATTCGCCAGGAGGATGTCCTCATGCTGATGGTGGCACTAATGCGGACGATGGCGATGTTTGTTGTGGAGTCCAGCCAATTAATGATGAGCCGAGTTGGGCCCAGGGGTGCCCGAGGAGATGAGGAGGTGGAAGTGGAGGTGGAGGATAATGGTGATGATGAGGAGATGTGGATGCAGACATCGCGAGGGGTCTTGAGGGCGCGAGGTCCAGAAGAAGGCGAGCAGCTGGCGGAGGATGAACGAGACGCTAAGCAGCAGAAGAGGGAGGATCGCAACAGTGAGGACTATCAGCTGCAGGAGAGAGCCAGGGAGGAGGAGGCCCAAGAGCGGGCGGATGAGGCCTTGTGGCAACAGCATGTGGCGGCCACTTACAGGGACTGGGAGTGGTGGGTGGTGCAGACGTGCCCTCCCAGCAGACCCCGTCGCTTGCAAGCCTCGATGATGATTGCCCAGGGCTCGGCTGGCGAACGAGTGACGTGCAGCATTCCCTTGGCGAGGGGACGGCCTATTGACATCCGGCTTAGCCTGAGGGAGGTGCAGGAGGACCAGCAGGCGGAGGACTTGGGTTCAGGGCTGGCCACGGGTTCGGGGATGGAGGAGAACCTGGAAAGCCGTACTATGGCCTTGTATCGGGCCTGGATGGGCGGCCACGTGGACCAGGCGGGGGTGCAGGCTATCGTCGGGGACGAGATGATGGGGATGTTTTGGGCCCAGCGGATGGTGGAGGAGGATGGCGATGGGTCACAGTGCAATGTCCCCGGGGGGCCGACGACTCAGCAGGGAGTGGCACCGGAGCGCAGTGTGGTGGCACAGGGGACAACTTCGGGGTTGCAGTCAGTGCCGCACGGTGACCTTGCGGGGGTGGTGGTACAAGGGAGCATGGTGGAGCAAGGGGTTATGAGGTTGCCCGTCGAGGATGTCACAGCAGATAGGACAGTGGAGGAGGAGAATGACGGGGCACAGCAGTTTACACCAGGGGTTTCGTCTGCACTGCATGTGAGGGATGGGCTAAGAGGCTGCCGGCAAACAGATGTGACCGAACGTGTACCTGAGCATGTGGAGTGAGGTCTGTGATATGCTGAAGTTTGAACATGGCTCAATGCAGCTGTGTCCGCCTTCCTGTAAGGGATCTCTGGCTCTGCGAGTTGGAAAAGAGGCGCTTAAAAAAAAAAACCCTAAAACCCTGAAGCCCTAAACCCTAAATCCTAAGCCCTAAACCCTAAAACCCTGAAGCCCTAAACCCTAAATCCTAAGCCCTAAACCCTAAACCCCTAAAGCAAAGTCGAGGCTCCGGGCCGGCTTTGGCCCCGCTCCTCCCGGCACTTTCGCCTTGGAGGGGCGGCCGAAGCCGGAGGCAGCGAAGGTATTTTTTTGTTTTTTTGTTTCGGCGCGGGGGCGGGGTTGGGGGTTTAGGGTTTA